CCACAAGCAAGTGTATGATGCTAACAAACCCAGAAACATAATCGGGGCGAACCTGGATTCAAACCCAGTTTCTGTCAAGCCCAAGGGATGCAACTATGCACAGCAAGTTGTGGTGCCTTTGATATTTGGGCCATCCATGCCAACAAAGTGATAAAGAACAAGCAAACTGAAGAAATATTTGCAAAGCAGGTAAATGAACATGATGAACCAAACATAATAATTTTAAATATTTACCATGCACAGCTGCTCTAATCTTGTTCTTCATTGCTTCTCTTTTGTGGGCTTCTCTCTTTCCATTGATGCTGTGCAGATGACTCACTCTTTTATTCATCCAGACTGCAAACATAAGTAGCATTCACATTACAGAAATGTCCGAACTGTACATGTTGTACATTGGATTCAATTGAAAATTGAAGATCCCAACTTAGAACTGTCCTTATTGAAACATTATGAGATAAAATAATATGAGATAAAACTTAACCCCATATTCAACAACTGTCAAACAATTATTCGACAACAAAGCCGGGGTCATTCAACGCACACTTTACATAGGGAATCACTTGTTGCAAAATGATCCTTGCCAAGGTCAAAGTCATTCAAATTGAGTTACTGAGTTATGAAACTTATACAAATCAAGGACGTGACAGTGTAATCATCATTAAAATATCTTAAGCGTCTTAGGACATTATGGTAAATTACAGTCAAAAGCAATGCTTTTGTTATTGGTTTTTCCCGTGAGTACCCGGATGCTACAGCAGAAACCTAGACTAGTTCGCAATTCGCTAGCACATTTGTCACTTTTATTGATAGTATAAGGGCGTATAGTCACATTGATCAACAAAATGAAATACAGTTTTGGAAATAATAAGGAAAAGTAGTTATCTTTGTGGGTAGCATCGGTAATGGTGACGAAGTTTTGATAAGTCACTTGCTTGCTAATTGAGCGATTTTCGTTTACACTATTTTGACTTGCAACTCAAAGTAAATATTTCTCCTGAGCATTGCTTATTTTATCGTGTTTTTATTTTTACCCTCACAATGTGCAACATTTTCACTTAGGAAATTTATTAAACGCCTGAATTATTGGGTTATTTTACAAATTGACTGAAAAATATGTCCAACTGTATTATTATGAGAACGAATTCCAAACATTTTTATGTTTAAATCATCACCAAGAGACTGAAAATGTTACGATGAAAAGTACATTTCTATATTGTTTGGCTTCTCATCCTACATAATAACTTATTGTGATGTTTCTAGGCCCTATTGTTCGTCTTAATCAATTGTGGTTAATCTGTTGAAGAAATGGACAGATTTTTCATTCCAAGTGACTGAAATTTTTACACATGTTTATAAATTGCCTGAAAGAATCATATTTTACAAATTGACTGTAATATATACACGCTTACAAAAAAAAGACTTGAGAAAACAACGTCTATCGCGCATCGAAAAAATTACCAACCAAGACGTAGAAGAACAAGAATGAATCTGTCCAATACTACTGCAAATGAAGGAGAACAAAATGCGAATATTATACTTACAACCTACCAAATTTATGTGTTTAATTTTAGGCAGCTCATGGAATGTATCCGTGAATATCCACACAAAGTGTCTCGTGTCACGTGTCTCTGTAACAATCAAATATTTTAAAATATATATTTCTTTTCAGGATATTACAACCCGTGTTCGTTTCTCAACAGATCACTTAGATTGTTTCAGATGTTTCACATAGGTTGTCAAGTCTTAAAGGTCGGCTGAGAAAGCCCACATGACAACTATTTTCATAACGTCCACGGTTCCTAAAAAAACATTGAGTTCGATAACAATGAGCAATTAAATCAACGTATAATCGGTTAACCCTTTGAACAAAGTATGTTGTTTTTACATCGGCACTTCACGCAAGGACATGAAAGCATTCACCTTGTTTTAGTAAACCTAGATGTGTAAACACTCACTTTTGACATATCCACCGTGCAAGATAGCAGTGATTAATCAATCAATGTAATTTCTGTTAATCCTTTGATGACTACGAACGATCCGCTGATCTACGAAAAAGTAAATCAACTGATCATTCATCTCTTGCTGGGCTGCCACGTGCACATCACATAACACACATTTCACCTCACTTCAAACCTTGATTTAGATTGAATAATTACCCCAGACACAATAAATGCCAAATGGGAACCTTCGTCAGGTATTCTGAGCGGTGCTACCACTAATTATACCTGTAATAAATTAATTAACTGAGCATCAAGTGAATGACGACAAATACACTAGTGTAGGGTTAAACCAGAAAACATGGACGACAACAAGGGAATAGTAATCGTCTTAACGACGCAATCCGAAATCCGAAAATGCTTTCACTGCATTGATACTTATTTTTAAACTATTACAATCAGGGGTATTTCCAAATGACGACAACCGATGAGCTCCGCCGTTCTTTTTGTCTGTTTGTTTAGGCTGAAGAAATTAAATAACATGCGCCCTTTTTCGAAATCTTTATAGATCACGGTAAACCAATCAGTGATCCAAAATGCGTACAACAAATATTGCCTCCAAGTTTATTTAGCTATCCTTGCAGACGGTAGCCCAGTCTATTGTCACGCTCAGTTGCGTTGCGTATCATCCGGGTACTCATGGGGGAAAACAATGACAAAGGCAACAACCAGTCCGGGGAATTGCTTTAGATCAGTGCACCTTTAATACCACAGCAGTGGGACTATGTTTATGTGGTGTACACTGATGCTGACATTACAAATCTGAATGACTTTTGTTGTTTACTGCACAAACAGAATTGACTTTAGATATTCTTCTTCCTTGAAATTCTTCTGAAATTTGACCAATTTGTTTATTTAGAATATGGCATTGAAGCGTCTGTTTCTGTTTTTGAAAGTTCTTGCAAACACCTCTTGTTACCGAACCAATGAAATGTCATTAAATCAATAAATATTATTTTTTATCTAAACAAATTCTTTGTTTTGCTTCATTAGCATAAAGAAATATAATATTGATCAGTCATAACATAGGTGCTGAACATATATCAAATATACTAATGCCCTAAATGTTTTCCTACAATAAATACAGCTCATTGAACAAAGTTTGTAGCTCCATGTCAGTAGAAAAGTTGCATTGATATTTTTATGTACCGGTACATTATTAGGTGTTTTCGGTGGATGCCATTAGTCTTATGCACATATTTGGGGCAATTGTATTCTGTTTCAAACTTCAAATAAAATCGCCTGTCTAGATGTAACAAGCACTGATACTATTCCCAAATAATCTTTTAATCTCACCAGGAACAAAGGCCAAAGTGAGCACATAGCCAGTGACTATGACGATGAAATGTGAGGATATCATCATAACAGGACTGATAGTTTTTCATTTAATACGCTGAACATATAAAATGAAATATATATGACTTTGAAAAATGTTTTCACCCAAAGTATATGTCCATAGATTTCAACTTTAAGGGGGTATTTACAACTAAAATAACACATAATATTACTACAGCCATCTGATATGCCCAGACTAACATTATTTATTAGGATAAAGACATTTCGAAAAATCTTATCCGGATACCTGCCAGATACCTTCAGGATACCTTCAGCAATGTTCAATTTTCTTGGTAAGTTTAAAATATATTATTAGGTGTTTCTCACTTAATTGAACAAAATGCCCCCCGAAAATTGTGACATTTTTGGAAACTGAGAATGAGGTATCCGTTGGGGTATCCGGTGCTGGATACGTGCATTCCAGGAGGCATACTTTCTGGTGACGTGTCCATGCCGGATACCATGGATCTGATATCCCGAAAGGTATCTGCCACCGGATACCTGGATGCGTTTTAGGTAAGTGTCCGGAGGTATCATGAAGGTATCCGGATACCGGAAATTGCATTTTTTTTTGCTGTGTATTTTGCTATGAAAGTCCCTGGTTACCGAGGTGTATAAAAAGGAGATATATTAAAAAGACGGTGTCGTGCCATTGAAAGATCTGGTGTGGTTGCGAAAGTTCTAATTTTGACTCCAGAAATGCGACTAAATTTAACCACAACTCGTAATTTTCGCATGCTTTCAGACGAATATGTTCCTATTATCGGTCCTGATATAAACATTTTTACATTCATCACAATTTCGCTTTTTGCCTGGTACCAAAGCTATTTAGGTACGATCAGTAGTTATTTTTGTATTATATTGTAATATTGTTTACGTGGTTACCAGAATGGTCAGCTGTGAATGTCTGTGCATCTGTTGCGCATCTGCAGCGGTTCAGGGAGGTTAACAGCAGGGTGTCGGGGTGTATCAGTTACATGCCAGACCATAGCACTGATGGTTTAAGATAAACTGTTTGGGAGGGCGGTCCCTCTATTATATGGTCTCTACTATATGGTCTCTGGTGACGGTACATACTTTCTCCAGTGTGTTACACTACATTACAGGGCATTGCTAATAGAACTTGAAGCTGCTTATTGAATAATGCTTCACTAATTGACCAGGGTACTGCTTTTTTAAATGGGCGCTGTTTACTGGAAAAAGGCACTGCTGCTTGACCAGGGCTCTGCTAATTGACCAGAATATTGTTGGTGTTACTGGGGACTGCTCATTGATTAATGTGCTATGAATTGTCGAGGGTACTGGTTATTTAATTGGGAGCTGCTACTTGTAATTGAATGAGTCACTGCTTATTGTGAACTAGGCACTGTTTGCAGAACCAAGGACAGAGGGTGTGTGTATTGGATGTGTTATATATATATACATGATGTTTAACCATAGACAGTGGAGTTTGTGTGTATTGAATGTATTGTATTAACATCATTCATAGCCTACCCGCTTCGACTCTCCGTCCTGTTAGACTTCTCTGATGTGAATGAGCTAGCGACTTGTAATTTAGTTTTTCTTCATATGAAATTTGAGTGTGTACCTGCAACATAGGATATTTAAATAATTGAGGATAACTAAACGCAGGTTGTTATCAACTCACAACCTGTATGCCGATTTCAGATACATGGAGACCAAGGTGGCAGCCAGGGAGACACCCATGGACGACCCCACTCCCCTGGAGAAGGAACCTCCGGCCGTTCACCAAGATGTTAAAGGGGTGCAAGGGGACCATGTAAACGTAGATACCGTGAATGCAGCAGGAGTCGTGAACCAGAACACCACCATCATAAGCCAAGTCCAAGGTATAAATTCTAGTGATATATTTCATTATTTATACAGCATGCTCACAGAAATGACAACATTTACAAAACAAATAGAACGTTTTCTTGTGTTACAGAGCAAGTGAATGTTACCTTCAAAAAAATAAAGATCCGTATTTGTTCTCACATAACAGTTATTGCTATATGCATACTTAATATACTAAAATGCCTCTTCCGGTGTAAAAGTGTAAACGTTTTTCAATCCCCTCACAGACCATGGGCAGAGCTGATCATGTTACATGTTATTCATGATCATATTACAGTTTCCATGTTTTATCAATACTGAGACCTGTTGGTGTTCACAATAACACTCACCCTTACAGGCAGGTAAGAAAATGTGTTCTTGCATGTTCATTGTTTTAATTCATTTTGTTTACAGACACTAGAGCATCTCTACAAGAGAGCGTAAGCATATTCACTTACTTCAATGCATCAGTACACAATCACATGTAGAAATGCTAAGATTGCCAGTAGGGCCCAGTCGTCTAAAGGCGCCGCGATTCGCTGTGCAGAGTTGCGTCCCTTGGGCACGCCAGAAACCTATGATTGTGGATTCGAATCCTGGTTCGAAAATCCCGGTAGGAAAGCACAATATAAACTGACAGGGTGCATTTCAAGTTTTGAGCACAGTGCTTGAAGTTTGGTATATTCTATATACTCTATATGTTCCATAGTGTCTATATTCGACCGGGGGGCTAGGGGTGGCCCAGTCGTCTAAGTCGCCTCGATTCGCTATGATTGTGGGTTTGAATCATGGTTCGCCCCGTTTATGTGTCTAGGTTTGTCAGCATCATACCTGTGCTCATGGGTTTCACCGAAGTGGTAAACGTCTGAGACCTGCATCACTTAGGGCTTTCCTCACACATTACGCTGACACGCCAGGATATAACCACTGCAAAAAAAATCCATATATACAAGATGATATTTCCAAAGGATATACAAGATTGGAATGATGATATATACAAAAATATACAAGTTTGTATATATGACATATACAAAAATATACAAGTTTGGATATATGGTGTATCCAAATTTGTTTTGTTTGTATATATTGGTAAAGGGAGATAAGTATTATGTATTTGTGTATAATTATTATATATGTGCAAATTGAAGTGTTGAGCACTGTGTTTCTTTGTATATGTTGGTAAAGGAGGATAATTGCTATGTATTGCTCTATATTTGTTTTGTATGTGCAAAATAGTATCAGAAGTTACAAAAAAATTATATAGTGGCGGGAAACATTACTGGAATGTTTAATTAGTACTCCACACTGTTAGCGGGAGTACATACTGTCCTTGCAATGATATTGACGGGTGGGCGGTTGAGGCGTCTGGTACTTTTCCTTGCGCGGTGCTTGGTATGTGAGTAGACTTTATGGTCAAATGCACAGAGAGGATTAGCTGTCGGGGGCGATTGCATTTGCGGTAAGTTCTGTATTGAAAGTGTTTGAGCTTGGATTCGTTTTACGGGGAGGCAGCGATGTGTTTTGTAACATGCTCTCGTGCACATATGCCAACAGAGTGGATTGCACAGAGGATGAAAACTATTTTATCACTACTTAAAAGTGTTGAATTTGGTTTGTTCTGAGCTGTCGGTTTCATTGTAGATATACATTGTTATAATGTGAAATCTCGGCGGAAACGCGGAAAATCGCGTTTTGTAAAACGGTAGTCCTTGGGGAAAATTGTATTATGAGCAACCGGATGCGTAAATAACGTGTGTAATATATTCCCGTATTATATTTTATAATACTTGTTCTTTTAATATTGTTATCAATGCGAGAACGAAGATTACCTTGAAAAAACACAACAGCATGCATATGTTCTAGCAAAAGGAAACTTGATACATATTCATTTAGCTTAATTTCTACTTTGGAAAACTTAGTTGGCGCTCTAAAAGCTTGACGCTGTATAATTTGGCACGCGCATGGTTGGGTGCAAACCATATGTACATCAATAATAATAATAAAAATAATAATAATAATACATCATGATGGCAGTTTCAATGTAAAGATTAAGTATTTCTAAAGATATGGAAAATAAATCTTGATAACTGCTTTAATCTTTGATCTTTGGGAAAATAATAATGGAATTGGTTGAGTGACTAATGTATTCTACTTTAAAAGTGATAGGAACGTGATTTACATAATTAAAATATAGAATAATATACAAATTATTAGAGAGGGTTTGTGATTTATTTTGGGATGAAGTCAGTATTTAACTTGCGCTTTCCGACATTATGCGTATTTCGCACACGGTTAAAAAACAAAATGCAATTCATTTATTTATAAAAAGTACGAATGCATCAATCCTACATCACAGGACCATGTACATAATTTGTTGAATGTTATTTCGTGAATACACAAATTGCATAACACATTCCCTGAGGACAAACCCAAATTGCCCGTCCCTTTGTGACAGGTGTTAATTAGAGAATGTATTGCCACCATATTATGTCCCGGCACTTTTATGACATGTAATGAACCTAGTCAATCCCTGGGTCTGTAACAACAACATGGGTCTAATAAAATCAAAGTAACATAAATGTTACGTATATTCGAATTAAAAAAGAGACTGAAAAAATGTAACATGAATATAATTGCCCTTTTGAGGGTAATATAATTTTGGGAAAATATACGTTTTCTTGTATTTATGGACGACTTCACACAAGCTGAAAAATTAAACATATGTTTATATAGCTATATTTACATACATGGCATTAACATGTAATAATAATATTGATCATGTTTGTTAATTTGTACATTTCGTTGTTATTGGTATCCTGAATATGTTGTAATAATGCATGTGTTCTGATCTTATTTGACGTAGATTACATGAACTAGTAGAGTGACTTTCTTTCATCAGCGTGGAAGTATTACCCACACATATACCCTTAATCCTTTGTCAAACAGAAAGAAGTCATATAGATATCATATCTAACTGGTACCAAAAGTTCACTATCAATCTCCTCTGATAACAAACTTACATTTAATATCCCCAATCTACAATACCAAGCATGCTCATGGAGTATGACCTGAATGATATCCTGTCTACGTGGTCACACCCGGTGATTGTTAAGACATTCAGACAATATGGCAGTCTGTATTCATTTCTTATATCCCAAAAGTCCCCACCAAGCTTCCTTTTATTAACATTGGGATGAGGGGAGATATACATATTGTATTAAATAATACATCAATACATCAAAACAGAACAAAAAAGATAGGTCAACAGTGCGGTTGATGGAAAGGGGGTTCCTAAGAAAAGCTATTTAACTGTTTATGTGTCTCAAAGTATGTATTAAGTCTTACTACTAGTTATTATATATGTGCAAATCCACCTGAACGTCGGATGTACATGGCCGATTTCGAAATAGCTAAATTAGGCACTGTTCAAATTGTTTCCAATAAACCACTGATTAGAAACTCACTTAAACTTTAGAATAGAATTGTTTCTAAATATATTGTAGTTGGGGCATGTGTAAAAATTAATGCAGTGTACCATTGTGACAGCCACAAGAGCATGCATGATGTGTTATCTGAGATGTGTTTTTTAAGCCGATGGAAGTTTAAAGTGACAAAATCTGGTATCATGGCTTAACTGAATATAACATTGTCCAAGTTGAATAATCCTCTTTTTCCGGTGACTATTCCAATTATTAATGGTATCAGGTAGGAATGACTTGGCCTAGCATTCAGTTCTACAACGTATAGCCTGTGAATTGGTTAAATTTCTTTATATGTAATCACTAACAGCAAAGATGTTTTCCATCTTGTAAAAAGGTGTAATGGCTACGTTGGTCTCACTCTACATTTTCATGTGGCTTGTACCTCTTATTGCCCCACAAATAGTCCGTAATCAGTGAGTGGGCGAGGTAAAAATTAACGTCTCATCGGCATTATTTCAGCGTCCGTAATGAATTTATGTGTAGACATTCTAGGATTAATTCTTCTTCTTTGGTACAATTATCCAAAACATGGGAGCAAAATATTGGCAATATATATATGCTTGTTCATGTCTTATGTAAAAGGGGTTATTTATCTGAGTGAGTGAGTATGGTTCACGGCGGTTGACACCAGAAAGGTATTTAAGACAATTAATCATAGGGCTTACCTCGTTAACTCCCTAATATCAGAATCTGACTGAAATATTAATACCAAAGTCCTTTCATTTTAAGATTAGGTTTTGCACTTGGGCACACTTTGACGTGATATTGAACAGTTTTCTTTTTCCCTGGATTAAGTTTTACTTGCATTCATTCATTTGGTAATTTTCTCCAAATCGGCATTAATATTTTACGCAGTAGTATTTGGAACTGTCCATTTTGGGAATTGGGTGGACCCCACCGCAAGCACAGTAAACAGAAATTCCATGGTGAATAATATGTACTATAGTTTGTTGGCTCGACATGCAAGACTCCATAATTTTAGCTATAAATTCATAGTAATATCAAATTAAATTTTTTTATAAATAATTCATTGATGTATTTGACATGAGACGTAGCGACACTCATGTATTTTATAATAATGTACAATTTCAATGCCTTAAATCTGTTGCATTAAACAAATTCTTTGATTTGATGTTGTCATATTGTGACTCAATTTGTGTCTAGTCTTCCAAATGTTCTATTGCGAATACATATAGTGTCAGCGCTCATGATCGCAATATCTATGAATTAATGAAAATATCATCATAAATAAACTTACCTGAGCTCAATATGTGTTCTGAAGACAAATCGCTGTAAAGCATCTTGCACAGCTTCGTTCACGTTCACCCTCAAATGTACGAAAGGAAAATCTGCGACTGTGCGTGTTCAATGTTCGAATGCATTTTTGCGACAGGCGGTCATTTATTTATTAAGATTCCACAAATTCATAAATCACAACTGATGTAGCTGCCTTGGTTAACTGGAGTCAGGATATAACTAATTACAAACTCTGTTCTAATTATGCTAATCGAGGAAGTGCATTATACTGGATGACAAACTTAGTAATCCTTTCACACTAATCTTTGTTTACAATGAACGCATGTCAAATGACTAAATAAACATCCTTTTTTTATTTTCTTAAGTAGAAGTATCACAATGGGCGGTGAACACAACTGTTTGTAGAATGATAGTTTCAGAAAGGAATACAAATACAAATATACAGAAAGGGGTTTAAAATGGTTTCTTTCTTTGCATCCACGCATTGTTGTTGTGGATGCGCTTATTTGCTGTCGGAATTGTTTTTGCAATTCAATTAGTTAATTACATGTCACATGACAACTGCATGTCACGGGGTCCTGGACATAAATCACGTGGTGCACTATTAGGCCTATAACCTTGATTCTGCATCAATTCAAAAAGTCCTGAATCCTCATCGACTCCTGAATTCTTAGATTTTGACGTTGTCATCTTGATCATCAGAACCATCAAAGGCGGCAAAATACAGTAAGCAACTTTTCTCCCACTTTTCAATTAAGATGTAGACAAGTACAACAACTTTAGTATGATTTAAAAAATTGTACGAGTTTCTTAGTGTCAATAATTAGTAGAACAGACGTAAAACAGACATACGAATGGACACGTTATCGACAACAATCCTATATATTTTAGTAACAATGAATAGTTGGAGTGACTAGTATATATTTGTAAAAAATAGATTTATAAAAGTTCAGCTTATTAAGTACAATACACCCATCAAATAGAGCTGCATGTGTCAGGGACCCAATCTAGATAGCGCCAACAACTAGAACCGCTGCGCCGGAAGTAGGTAACGTTTCTAGCTCTTACGTCGAGTAAAATCAGAAATGATTCGCGTGATACATATATGATGTACATATATGTGAACAGCCTCTCGTTATTAATGCCCTTTAATTGTAGTCATCTTACTATTTGATCGTTTATGCCACACAAAGCTATAAGTTCCGTAATAAAAATACGGAAAAATGAACAGATTAATCTCATGGATATATATTCAAAAATAGTAGCATAACGAATGAAGTAATGTTTTAATTTCCGTTCCCATAATACTGTTTAGATGAAACACCGTTAGCAACTTGAATGGGAATAAACAGTGGTAGCTGTTACTAGCCAAAGGATACTAGACTATACAAGAACAGTTTTAGCATCTCACACCGTCCCGACAGGCGCCAACCTCTCAAATATTGCACAACATATATTGATGGCGTAATATGATATTAATATTACATTGTTTCTTGAATGCTGTGCGAAGAATATTTTGTATGATGGCAAGATTCAAAACAAGTATCATTATCTTCTTTGCGAGGAATTTAGAAGTTGGAGTATTGAGAGAGGATAAGATCTGTGGATGAACAACATCACTTGCTTGATAATGGTGTTACAACATACACCTAAGCGTCGCTCCTAACTGTAATAAAGACGTTGTTCATCAATATATCTTATCTCTACTCAGTTTTCATTATCGCTAAAATTAGACAAAACTGTAAAAATGGTTTAACATTCAATGTTATCAATATTAATTAACACAAGTATTGTGGTAGCACAGCTAGTCCCTGTAAAATTTTCATTTAAAAAAAATCCAAAAAAAATCACAGCGCATAGGGAAATTGAGCGAGGCTCAATTCGAACGGTATTCCCATGTTATGTTCTGTTTTTCTGAAAATGTACATGAAGCAGATTGGTCAAGAAGTTTATATGAAGACTACTCCGGAATACAATGATTCAAAAAGGCATACATGATATTGTAAATATATCTAGATTTTTAGACAGGATAATGCATAGATAATATTCCAACAGTCATTACAAGATATCAATAAAATCGACCTGATGTCAAGCACATGTTATTTGACAAGATTGCAGTAGCCGTGAATTATAGGTGGATATGTTTGAATTTCCCCTTAGGACTGTGGTGAATGAATTATGGCTCAATTCGGAGTAGCTAGTTCAAGAAATGGATGGGATAAATGATAAACATGTAAGGTTCACTCCCAGACATCCCATTAGTCTTTAGTCTTTAGACTTAAGAATGGAAAGGCTACAGGTGTGGATGATATTCCTGCAGAAGTGTTAAAAAAATGTAAGTTCAGTTGATTTGTCGCACAGAATCATTAACTATTGCTTTGTAAATGGAACTGTACCAGCTATGTGGAACAGGGATATATCCATCCTATTCCTAAGAGCGGTATGAAGGATTTTAGAAACCCTTTGGTATCATTGTAACATCTATTCCTAACAAGTATATGCTTATGTACTCAATTAAAGACTAAGTGGCTTGAAAAGGACAATATCATAGCTGATAAGCAAAATGATTTTAGATCCAAATGAGACTGTATTGATCATTTATAGGTTTAAACGTCTTTAGTTCAGTATGGAAAAAAACAAAACAATCAACCTTTGTTACATTTGTTGATGTCAAAAAAAACTTCGACACCGTTTATAGCGAAGCTGAGGAATATTGGAGTTCGAGAAAAGATATTGAATGCTATCCAGTCGATTGTATGTCGATGTCAATTGTACTGCACGTGTAGGAGAATTTCTTACAGTACGTTTTACTGTTTAACATGGTGTAAAGCAAGGCTGTAAATTATCCCCAGCTATATTTTCTGTGTATGTTAACGACCTGGCTATTAACAATCTCAATTGTGACGTACTTGTTGATGAGACTATGCTCTCCATTTTAATATATGCTGCCGATATTGCATTAACTGCCCCCAATGAATGTTGATTACAATCCATGCTTAATGTACTGCATGAATGGTCAACACGTTGGCAATTGTCAGTGAATATGAATAAGACAAACGTAATTCATTTTAGAAATCACAACCGAGATCATCGTTTTCATTCCTCTACGCTGGGCAAACACTGGTCTATGTAGAATCATATCGTTTTCTGGGACTACGGGTTGACGAGCATCTAGATATGTGAAACTGTGAAAGAGTTGTCCAATTCTGTCAGCCATGCTTTGTCTTTGTTTTATTCTGTTGGGTGTATGTCTTATGATGTTTTTATGAAACAGTATGAAAGTCTTGTTGAGCCGGTAATGATCTATGGCTCTGGTATATGAGGATAAAACGTTAATCTAATCCAAAATAGAGCCTGTAAATTATTTCTTGGTGTTAGTAACGGTACCTCCAGTATAGCCACTATTGGAGACATGGGTCTCTCCTCCCCGTTTGTTACATTACATGCTAATGTTTTTAGACTACCCCAAGATTTAATAACAGTACTTGTAACGCTTTGATGAAGAAAATGGTTACTATGTAACTCATGGAGTACTAAAGTTGTTAAAATTGCCTGTAATCTTAATATTTATGATGTTATGAATATTATGACTGCTCCAATGTCCCGAAAGAAGAAAATTGCCCATATTAAAAACTTTCTCGTAAACAAAGATGAACTGAGCTGGAGAACAGAGCTTTGGAACGATAAACATCAATTTTTAAAACTACTTTCAACTACTTGTTGCTGGCGTACGCATTTTATATTGATCAAACTGTTATTAAGATCTGTACAAATGTTCTATTTCTTATGTAAAACATAACGAAATACAAATTATTTCATACCATCATATAGTTGTCATAATGAAAATAGTATTAAAGCATTATTGTCACATGCAATAATAATACTGTTCGGTATCATTAGTAAACTTTGCAACCACATATTATGTGAAACCTTCTATAAGAGGTGATGAAATTGAATGAAGCAATGGTAAAATCTAACCATATATACAAAATTGTATAGTTTTGGAAATACCAACTATACAAAATTGTATACTTTGGAAATACCAAATATACAAAATTGTATTTTTTGTATATATGGGTATTTTTTCTTGTGAACTGGAATACTGTTAAAGCGGCGTTTAACCCAACTCACTCGCTCACTATAATCGACCGGACATTTGCTGACAATGCTACATTAATGAGAGAGGTGTATACAGGGGGTTGAGCTTGATGAGCTGTAAGAGCAGGCTTAAAAAAGCTAAAAGATGGAGATTGCTTGATGGAGAAGTGCTATTGCAGGTCTGTCATGGATGTTAAAGTGAGGATTTTGTACTCAGTTCTTGCTTTAATTGGTTACCAGCGAAGGGATATCGCCGCTTGGGCGGGACACGCTCACCTTTTCGCGACCCCCTGGTGTCATCACTATATGCTGGTGATATAGTAAGGATCATACAATGGAGGATTTCTTATGATTATGAAAATGGGTTTGTAAGTTCAATTCGAATAGAATTGGTTCGATAAACATTGTTTGAGGCTGTAGGCAGGTTTCCAGGCACAATTTCACCATCCTACGCATTGTGATAAATAAATAGTGAAACATGTTTAAGCATTTCATAACTGTGCACAAACAACAGGCCGACTCTTTGGCCAAATTGACAAATGTGTCAGTTATTCCTTATGCGGGCAGTGCCAAAATACCCACTGCTTCGTCCATCGAGGCACGGGCGAGGCCCCTGCAGCTCTTCAAAGAGTGGTCTCTTTCTTGTGACTACCCTCTGACACCCTGACACAGACCTTTACAGTGGAAAGACCCTCTGAAAATAGACCTTACTCTCATACTGCTTGACTGATACTTCGGCATGAATGTACCTTGCTATAAGTATGTGTTATCATTATGACTTTAATTGTAAGTCTTAGAATAATAACATTTTGTCAAAGAATTTAAATCATATTACACAAGGAACAGCCAATATTCCTCATACATAGTTGCAGTCAATAACTGATTGTATTGCATTTATTTAAAAGTTAGGCCCAGGCGTGGGTAATTGTGTTATGTTTGATGTCATGCATAGTGTCATTTCTGTTTACAGACCAGCATTTTAGAAAAAAAATTGGAGACCCGTCAGAAGGAATGGGAAGGTTCGTATTCATAAAGTGCAAACATTATATTTTCTTTTCAAAATTAGTGCGTAAGTGAGTGAGTTTGGTTTAAGGTCAGATATGTTGGAGATAGACGTACTGTGCTATGTCTACCCATAGCTTGAAACTAAATTGAATTTTAAACCCAATGCGCGGGCTGTGTCCCTTCAGTTCAGAACGACCTGAGAAACAACTGCAATATTTGTTTACTTGGGAGTTACGTAATAGTATCATGTATGGGTTTTTTTTATTATTCTTGGCGTTGTTGAAAGTTTGATGGTTAGTTACCTGAGCACTTACACTAATGTCTGAGCTTTAAGTTATTCCCGGCTAAACGTTTAATTTTTAACATGATGTTTTTCTCTGCTATCATCATTTATATGATATTTGTATGTTTTTGCAGATAGGTGTTTACAGGTGAGTATAAGCTTCATATTGATTCTGACTTGCTACTTGCAGTATCAGGTCAAAGTATGTCGAGAAACTCAGTTTACTATAACCATTCTATTTAACTGTTTACTGCTTGTACACTGAGACTTAATGTATAGTCATCGAACATTTAACCTTTACCAAAATATAATTTACTGAATACACCATTCTGCATAAAAATGTTATAAGGACAATTTTTCTTTTTTAAATGTGTCATCAATGTTACAGATACAGAACCTGCAAGGTGACCTCCTCCAACAGCAACAGAACTATGGTATGCAATGTTTTGCTTTTGCTTTACGAGGAACATGCCTTCTTGGAAATTATACTGTTGAAAGGAACACAAATTGCTGTAGAATCTCAAGCCACCAAATTCAAGGATTGCAAACTGTTGATAAACTATGTCAGTTGTTGTTAGAAATATGTTTCTTGTGTCAATAGTTGGTGAAGTTAATTATACTTGCAGCTAAAACAGAGAACACAGCAGAAGCCGAAGGCCAGGTAATGTAGCTCTCCTTGTTATTATTAGTGACACTGACACTACACATTAATTAATAATGCATGTGTTAAGTGTATGCACCGAAAACAGGGTTGAGTGCACTCTATGGAAACAAGCTTAACGTCCAGACCACATAAAACATACTTCTTTTATCAAAGGGACATTTCAGTAAAACAACAATAGTGTCTAACAATACACATCCACTGTCTAACTATCGGAGGAATCCATCCCATATCTCCATTAACAGCAACATTTGAAGCGTATTTCCCCAACCCTAAGAATCTAAAATCTAAAAGCACGATGGTGAACGGCATTTACAGAAGAAATGTCACGATGACCCCTGATAGATGCCCCATAACTCAAGACTGGCCAAACCATCGTATCATACAATTTGGAATAAGTAGTGGATTGCATACATCCAATTGCCTTATATTTACATACAATCAGACCTAATGCTCTGTTAGCCGATTTAGCTGCTGCTTTTGCCATAGCATTGTAGTCAAGATGTTCCGTGAGCAGTAGGCCTAGATAATTATAGCAATCAACAATGTCTATAACAGAGTTACCAATATTAAAAAAAGCTGTTGGTCTTGGATCACTTAGATTTCTAAAGTGTACAATCTTGGACTTGTCATTTTTAATAATGATACTATTATCAACACGCCATGTATTCCTGAACATGTAATAGACGATTCAAATCATCTGCCGATTCTGCAAGTAAAATAAGATCATCAGCATATGCTAAGGCTGCAATAGTAATATCATCAACACAAATACCAATACCAGTTTCATTCAGCTTGTCAAGCAAATCATTAATAAAAACGTAAAACAGAATTGGCGAAAGTAAACATCCTTTTTTTAAACCACGATTGACATTAAACCAGGGTGTAAGCATACCATGTATACGTACACTGCATTTCACATTATCATATAAAGATTGAAGTGCTAGAAACATTTTCCCTTTCACGCCAATGTTACATGATTTCTCCCACAGCACACCTCTGTTAATGCTATCATACGCTTTATGAAAGTCTAAAAAGCAGAAAAAGTGTCTTTTCTAATACATTTTCTAGTTTCAATAAAAACAAAAAACAGAGTGAACATGATCCGTAGTTGATCTACGATTTAAGACATTCCATCGAAATACCGTCAACAGCAGGAGCCTTGCTACAGTGGCTTCTAGCAACCGCTCTGGTTACTTCAAATAGAGTAATTTTAGCGTCGAACACAACACATGTGTTTCACTAGTCTCACTGTCACACTTAACATTCTGCACCCTGACGTCACAATTCAGCAGTTTACAATAATCATTCTTCCACTTATCTAGTACATCACTCCATTTCTCAGACACATTTTCATCCTCTAAAACCACTTTCATGGGGATCTGTCTTCGTCTCTCCCCACCTACCCAAATCTTACCAATCTTCTTCCAAAAATCCCTATCATTATCATCACACATTTCATCCAACCGATAAAAGTCGATATAATAAATCCCAATGCGGTAAAAATACTGGCAATGGTTATTCCCTGTTCTCTGAACAATGTTTTAATTTTATCGGCCAGTGTAGTGTCATCGCTGAGGACTTGATCGATAGTTTCTCGAATTCGACTGATTTGTGAACGAAGTGCTTTTCCATTACTGGAGGCAACCTCGAGGCGGGCCGATCTTTCGTCTTCTTAGTTACGCAATCTTACTGCAACGCGGCGTCTACTGAATTCATCACCCGCCTGTTCAAGTTTTGTTTTCTCATAAGCTATATGCTTGTCGAGTTCGGATAGCTTGGCTATATCATTGATGATAATTGTTTGCATTGCCTTGTGAAGACCTCGTAACTTCCTAATATTGAATATCGTGATACACTGACCGTGGTATTATCGTAATAGGTATGCAAGATTTCTCCGAGCCCGTCCGAGGCCAGCTTCGATGTTTCTTCCAAATTATCTTTATCTATGGTACTGAGTTCATCATGCACAGTCCGAAGAACCTTAGTAGTCTTCGCAGAATTACGAACAAAGTTGATGCCATGTTAAGCAGCTATCGTAGACAAAGCTAGGGGCTTACAAGTATGATAATGCAGAAGGTCAATATCAGGTTCGCTGCGAATTCGCAATATTCCTTTACTATCTGTCGTAAACTTTGAATAGTCACGACCTATTGGGCTAACATATTTAAAGGTGTCGTAATAATCATTAACAGTTGATTGTAAAAGTTCATCGTTAAGATTCGTAAAGCTGGTTTCATCAGTACCCTCTTCCATTGTTGTAGGCTTATCAAAATCAACTAGATTAAAATCATAATTTTTATATTCAACATAAGGTTACATAATTACAATATAACAATGTCTTCGCAATACGGACGCAAGTTAAATCCACAACATAGACTTCGAGATCCATTAGGGGTCAAAGCAATTTGCCAGTCTGTAACTTTAACTAATAACCCGAGTACCATCGATCAGAATCAAACACTTCTTGTTCGCTTTCCTAATCTTGGTGCACATGATGTGTTAGTTCCGGGAACTGTCTGACAGGCATTTACCATTAGTTTGACTTCTGTTGACGTTAACAGGGAGCCTGTTCAGAACATAGGTCGTGCTATCGTTAAGAAAATCGTGATTAAAATTAGTGGTAATGAAGTTTTGAGTATCGATGATAGCGATGTATACTATTGTTACATGGATCTCTGGAGAACGGATAAAGAGCGGGAAAACTTACAGTACCAAGGTATTTGTAATCGGAACACATTGAGACTGCGTGTGGGTGCTGATAATGGCGATAACACCATCGTAAAAGATCTCGCTGTTGCCAGCGCATTAGGTAACTGATTCTATATTCTGCTAGACTTTGAATTACTTGATTCCCACATGCCTTTTTATCAAGCATCCCTAGGGGATAGGTTAGAATACGAACTCACTTTTAATGACTACGGTAGAGTAATCACAGCTGCTGAAGATGCTTGCTATACCATTGACAATATCTCACTGGAGTATGATATGATAACAGATCCTGAATTAGCCAGACAAATTCGTAACCAGTATACAGGAAGTTTACCTATTTTGTACGATCGCATGCTTTGACACCGAAAGATCACAAGGAACAAAAATGATAACATGTGGAATACCAATCTAAACGTCCCCAGGAGATAATTGAAGGGTATTTTGTTCGAGGACCCCTCCGATGCATTTAAAAGAAATTCCGAGAAGTTCTACGATCCCAGGATTACAAAAGTAGAATTGACTATCTAGGGCGTTCCTAATTAACTATATAGTCAAGGAATGCTAGCGTATCAACAGTGGGATGAGATTAAAAAACTCCCTTCTATAAAACGAAGTACAGAAGTTAACACGGTCGTGAATGATCTGTCTCTCAGGGATGTATCTATGGGTGAATACCTCACCACGAAGTATGAGCTAGGGCTCGACATGCGAGCAACGGACGATGACCAGCTACACGGCAGTGGGCGGAGAATAGAAAATGCTAGCGAGGGTGTCACAATACAGATAACAAAGCTCCAGGAAACAGCTGGTAAATTAAACATATATTTGTACACGATTAATATATAGAATGGAAAGCAATCTATTAATAATCTTTTACCAGCGCCAACATATGGGGGCAAACGTGTTGTTGAAAAACAGGTTTTATTCTAGATATTTTAGAAAGTTATTATCTGGACGTTTTCGATCATATTATTATTCTGTGCCCGACTATAAGCGTTAATAAAACAAACCTATCGAGAGATTGGGTAACGAATGATGATGGGGTGCGCAGAGTTGATCCGGGTGATCATTTACAAGACTGTTTATGAGTATGTCACGAAAAACACAAAGGAGAATTAACCATTTTCATAATAGATGACAGCAGCACGAGTAAAGAACTCACAAAAAAGAAAGATATGCTTTCATATATAGCATTCTCCGGTCGACATACTCAACATAGCGTTTGGGTACTTATTCAAAAATACAACTCTGTCCTGAAAGATCTCAGAGAGCAGACCAAATGGGTAGCCCTGTTTCATTGCAAAGACCAGGATTCATTCGAGGAATGTTTACGCGAAAAAGATGTTTTTTATACCGAGTCCGAACAAGATAAAGTCAGAAAACTGTTAGCTGAAACAAAGCACTGTAAACTCGTATTAAAAACCGATCAACCAGCTGCTTATGCAATTGCTAAGCAAAATGTAGCAAAATTATAGCAAAAATATGGCAAAAATACAGCAAAAAAAGCAGAATTATAGCAAATATAGCAAAAAAAGCACAAGTAAATTGAACAATAACGGTTATTATGACATAATGTGGCTTTAAATCCTCATTTTTTCCCAGCAGTTTATTATTACAGGCTGTATTGGATATGTCATATTTTATTATGTTATACCTAAATATCTCCTTGGGTATTGCATTATGGAATGCGACAAACTCATCGAACAACTGATGAGCCAGAACCTATGAGAGAAAGGCTCATCGATTTGGTAGGCGGTGGAAAATGTTCCGAATATTTGGTGGAAAATGATACCATCGAAAAATTTGATAACATGATGAACATGAAGAAATTAAAAAACTGTACGCGAGTTACGAGTATAGACTTGGAGCTACCATGACTAAAACAAAAGGGTTGGCTATGTTACAACTATACACAGTCGTAGCTAGTACGTTTCTCCCTATCCCGGCAGAACATCGCCCGTATTTATGCGAATCTCTCGAGAAAGCCCCATTCATCGAACACGCTATAAGCTCAGTAAGCTGTGAGTTTTATCATAGATACAGAATGTTCTTAGCCCTGGTGACCACCACTTTAATAATGGCTAGGTATTGTCAATTTAAACATATGTGCCCACATAATAATAATGGAGACTCAAGTGACACCACCACAGATTGTGGAGACACAACAAGTGAACGAGGATGCACAACAGATTGTGAATGAGGAATGACGTAGAACCCCCCCAAAAATCGCCGCCAGTAGAAAGGGTGGACTGGCGAGGAAAGTGAAAATAATGCATAATTCAAATATT